CATGAATGAGTCAAACTTCTTGTACCACTGCCTTGGTGCCTGCTTCAACCCATAAAGACTCTTATTCAGTTTGCACACCATGTGTTTCCTTTCATCTACTTCAAATCCTTCTGGCTGCTCCATATAGATCTCCTCTTCCAAATCTCCGTGAAGAAATGCAGTTTTCACATCCAACTGCTCCACTTCAAGATCTAGGCTAGCTGCTAAGCTCAAGATTGTACGAATAGAAGTCATTTTGACAACAGGTGAGAAAATTTCATCAAAATCAATACCTTTCTTCTGTTCGAAGCCTTTAACCACCAATCGAGCTTTGTATCTAACCAGCTTGCCATTTCCATCTTTCTTGAGTTTAAAGACCCACTTACATTTGAGTGGTCTTTTACCCTTTGGAAGTTCAACCAGCTTGTATGTGCCATTTTTCTGTAGAGATTCCATCTCTTCTTGCATAGCTTTCATCCACTGGTTCTTTTTGGATGGGACAACACCTCCGTAAGACTTTCTTGCTCTCCTTCATCACCGATGAGGACAAACTCTGTGGAAGGGTACCTGCATGACTCTACCCTTGGCCTCTTTGATCTCCTCAGAGGTTGAGGTTGTTTTTCTTCTTGAGTGGGGTGCTCCACTTCCTCGACACCTTCATCAAATTGCTCCCCCTGCTCAATAACCTCACCAGGTTGCTCCCCCTGCTCGGCAACCTCGTCGGTCCTACTTTCTGCACTTGTGGGATTGTTAGAAGTAGAAGGAATAGTAACAAGGTTAGGAATTATACCATTCTTGGCCTTCTCTGACATATCAGCAGCAGTTCCAACTTCACTTTCTCGGAAGACTACATCTCTGCTTCTGATGACCTTCTTCTTTACGGGATCCCACAATCTGTATCCGAACTCTTCATCTCCGTATCCAATGAATATGCAGGGAACGGATTTATCATCTAGCTTTGTTCTCTGCTCCTTTGATACATGTGCAAAAGCTCTGCAACCGAACACCTTCAGGTGTGAGTAGGATACCTCCTTGTTGGTCCAAACTCTCTCTGGAATGTCAAACGCCAACGGAACTGATGGACTCCTATTGATCAGGTAACAGGCTGTCTGAACTGCTTCACCCCAGAATGACTTAGGTATTTTAGCCATTCTGAGCATGCTTCTCACTTTCTCAACAATGGTGCGGTTCATCCTCTCGGCTACGCCATTGTGCTGTGGGGTTCCAGGAACTGTCTTTTCATGTTTGATCCTGTGACTTGAACAGTAATCTTCAAATTCTCTTGAAGTGTACTCACCTCCATTATCACTTCGGAGACGCTTTAGCTTTCGACCCGTCTCCCTTTCTACTAGAGCATGAAACTTTTGGAAAACTTGAAACACCTGATCTTTGGTTTTCAAAATATAAACCCATAATTTTCGTGAAGCATCATCAATAAAAGTAACAAAATATTTGTTACCACCCATCGATTCAATTTCCATTGGACCACAAACATCGGAATATACTAAATCAAGTATATTCAATTTTCTTTCAGACGATGTCTGAAATGAGACTCTATGCTGCTTACCAAATAAACAGTAGTCACAAGGTTTTATCGTTGTACCTTTGGCATAAGAAATGAATGATTTACTTGGACAAGAATCTGCAATCCCTTCTCGCTCATATGACCCATTCTTTTGTGCCACAAATCTGCAGAAATCTCATCTTGTGCCGCGTTCAATTCACCTTGGCATATTTCTGCATTTGTCCTGTACAACGTGCCACGAGCAACCCCCTTTGCAATCACTAATGATCCCTTGGTGAGTCTCCACTTTTGATTTGCAAAATAGTTCTCGTACCCATCTCGGTCTAAAGCAATTCCCAAGATCAAATTCATCCGCAAATTTGGCACATGCCGCACATCCTTTAGAACCAATGTGCATCCGACATTTGTCTTGATACAAATGTCACCAATCCCCGCAATCTTTGAGTAACTTGTGTTACCCATTCTCACCGTGCCGAAATCACCTGCTACATATCTGCAAAAAGGATCTCTTACCGGTGTGGCATGGTAAGATGCTGCTGTATCAACCACCCATTCCGACTGGGGACCTGCCAGGTGCATGCATTCCTCTTCCTCATTTATAAAGAGGACAACATTATCATTGTTTTGTACCATGGCGGTTGTGTTGTCGTCATTCTTCTGGCCACTGCTTTCACCTTTGCCCTTCCTTGGATTTGGGCAATCTCTTTTGAAGTGACCTGGTTGATCACAATTGTAGCAATTTCTAACTCTTGATTTGGATCGGTTCTTAGATTTCCCACGAGCTCCGGACCTACCATAGTTGTTCGAACTCCTTTGATAATTCCTGCCTCTACCTTCTGTGATGAGAGCCTGTCCTTGATTTTCAGGCTTCTTTCTCATCTTATCATTGAGTAGAAGAGCCGATGTGACATCTTTCAACTCAACGGTAGTCTTACCGTGTAGGATGGTTGTTGCCAAATTATCGTACGAAGATGGCAACGAGTTCAATAGCAAGATCGCTTTATCTTCTTCCTCGATTTTCACTCCGAGGTTGGCGAGCTGTGTGATTAGTCCGTTAAACACATTTAAATGTGACGAAAAATTCGTACCTTCACCCATGTGTAGGGCGTATAAGTGCTTCTTCAGGTACAATTTATTTGTCAGCGTTTTGGACATGTATAGGCTTTCCAACCTTGTCCAAATGCCACATGCGGCGTCTTCATCAATGATGTTATTTACCACGTCATCTGATAAGTGCAACCTGATTGCACTAGCAGCCATTTCATCCAAGTCAGCCCAATCCTCAGCTTTCATGGTATCAGGCTTTTTGGCATCAGCATCTAGTACCTTGTGTAATCCTTGTTGGATGAGCAAATCCCTCATCCTTCTTTGCCATGTTGAGAAACCGTTGTCTCCGTTGAATTTTGCTACCTCGTACTTTACTCCGGACATTTTTTATTTCACTGAGTATAGTACTACCGACAGTGAATAGTAATTGAGTGAACGAGCAGAACCTGTGCTCTGATACTAGTTGTTGGGAATAAATCCCCCACAGTAATAATATTCACGGTAATAAAAGCGGAATAATAATATAGCAGTGAGATACGGTAATCAACAAGAATAAAAGAGTAACAATGACACCAAGATTTTTACGTGGAAAACCCTTCTGAATAAGGGAAAAAACCACGACCCCGAGAGGAGCAACTGATATCACTATAGTAAGGAATTTTACACTTTGTAGGTCCGAGTAAAATACTACAAAGACCACTACAACACTCAAAAGAAATAACTCTCTTTTGATATTCCACCTCACTACAATATCGCTCACACTCTCTATTTTTCTCACAGACTATTTTCTTATACCCTGTCTGTGATGCCTCACTCTTTCTTTCTCTCTTTGTTGGTGTGTCTTAAGAAGTGAAAGAGCTCCCCTTTTATAGGAGAGCAAAACTTAGTCTCCAAGAATGCTACGGGAGAATTATTAATTCTCCTCCACAAATCTAAACTTTGGCTCCAAGGCTCTCTGTTGAGGCTATCCATAGGCACATGCCTATTTCACTTCTTCTTTCTTTATTCTAAGAATGGGATGGACCCCACAATAATAAACCCAGTGAAATCCTACAAGTAGGGTCTGGGAGGTTAGTGTGTATGCAGACCTTATTCCTACTCTGAGAAAGTAGTGATGTTGTTTCTAATAGGTCTTCGGCTCAAGAAAGATGAAAAGAAATAATGAATCTTGAACTATACCGGATGATTATTGTTCTTTTAACATGCACAGACATATATTATATAGTTTTCGCAGTGTTTATAGAAAAGGAAAATTCTTTAAGCTTCTGTCCTCAAGTAAAGTAAGTAATATATATATTCTCACTTTAATTCCTTTTTGAACTTTTTGACTAAGTCAACATATATTTCAGTTGCAGTTATTAATCATATCATACTTTTTTCATATAGATTCGCCATGATAAAGACATTTCGCTTAAATTGCTACGCAGCTGCATTTTTCAGGTTTGTCTACATATACTGCTCTCAGGATATTGGAGAAGAGAATCTTATGTGGTTTTCCGGTGAGATTTAGTTGATTTTCCGACCATATTTATTTTCTTAAAAGCCATCCATATATAAGTTGAGTGACTTTATAGCGACAAAATTAATTTAGTAACTTTTGTACAAAATAATTATAAATTCAGCGATCATTGAAAAATTAATTCTAGGGTGCATTATCTCTAAAATGTGCAGAAATTCAGCATATCAATAACCGAATTTTAGAATTTATATTGTTTTGTCATAGCCCGGTGTGGCTTCAAGGTAGGAGTTCGTAATTGATGCTAATTACCTGCTACAACATGTTTTCAGCAGCTTTTTTAAATCTTTTACTTAGCTCCCGTCTAGACATAAAATTTGGAAGCTATTTTTCAAAATAAATTTTAAAATATTATCTATTCATAAAATTTGATTAGTTTTTGAGAAAATTTTGAAGAAAAATATCAAGTTCCAAAAATTGGTTTGGGATAGTTTTTGGATGAAATATTTTCTTCCACACACAAAACTTTAATTTTTCAAGTAAAATGCATGTCCAAATACAACTTTAACTTCCAAATTTTTTTTATCAACACAACTTCAAGTACTTTTTTTTTTTTAAGTTTCAAATGGCAGAATTATTTTCTTCCTGTATCTAATCGAGTTCAGTCAATGAGAAAGATCATAAGCTTTCAGTCTAATTTCTTTTGCTTAGCTTCTGTTTCCGTAATTAACATCATCTGATTCTGCATTAATTTCTGTTGAAGACAAATATGTTTTAGTGACATGCCTCAATTTTTATATTTTTACGGGCTCGTGGGCTGAGGTGGAACCAAGAATTTCTTAAGACAAATACAAAGTTTTGACCAAAACTATTGGGCTCGACCCAACCCGTAACCTAAACTCTAGCTAGCTCAGTGCCTGCTCGGGGAGCACAGGGGAGGAACCATGGCAGACATTGTATGAACCTAAAATCATTAACTTGTTAAAACCAATATAAACAAATTAATGCTTTAATCATACTCTTTGAAGTTTACAATCAAGAATGAATACATAGCTCTTTCTTTCAATCAAAAATCGATAAACATATAAATTTTATTTTACAGAGAGGCTATGATTCCAGTAAACTCTGCTCAAAACATATGTATCTTTGGTTAGCTTTAGATCAAGACAGCTCTGTGTTTCTCTATTTTCTTCTTTAGTCCATCTTTATCTGCTCCCACAACTTTGTCAACAACCTTCCCCTTCTTTATCAGCACAAATGTTGGCATTGTTTGAACCCCATATTCCTCAGCTACTTTCTGTTTTCAGTTTATTTCAGATATTAGTATCCATTTATGTATCAAAAGAGTTGGGAACAAAGAAAAAGATTCTAAAGTTAAGAACATAAGATCTTACATCCAATTCATCAACATCAATCTTGACAAATTCAACATCTGTATATTTAGCAGCATAGTCATTGATAACTGGTTCCATGTTTTTGCAAGGACCACACCATGTTGCTGTAAAGTCAATAACAACCTAGTAGCACCAAATACAAAATGAGTTTAACTTTTATATACTAGTAGTGCAAGCATAATTTTTATACTATCGAGTCACTTAAAAAATAATTAGAGGTTAAAGTCAACAAAAAATGAGACTAGTAATCTAGAAAATAAGACAGATTTAAAACTTTTACACAGTCTATATATTTAAGTTAAATCCATACTTATTCAATGTTTCTAAAATGATTACCAGTTTGTTTGTATCTTTCAAAGCATCAAAATGGAGCTTCCATTTTGTTGATGAGTGGAAAGCAATGACTTGAGATCTCTTGACTTGTGGTATTGTGGTTGACATATAATTAGCTTCGGGCCAAGTTGTTGGAATATTTGTTGAGTAATTAGCACCCATTTTCTTTCTGGATTGAAATTTTTGCTCTTGAAATTTTGGTTTCTGAAAGGTCTTCTTTGGCTTTGATGTTGGAGCTTAGAGTTTTGCAGGGACCCTTTTTATAATGGTTTCTGATTTAAACTTTTCTCTTTTCAAATGTAAAACCATCTCAAAATTAGTACAGAATATGTTCCTTCATTATGTCGACCACTCCATTATACAAAGAAAGATTTGATGCTATACTGCTTTTGGTTTTGGTATTGGTGCTTAACTCCAATGTTTCTAATGCAGGACCAATATAATTACCGCTCTATACTATTGAGTTTAACTTCTATACACTAACAATATAAACAAATATCTCAATTGTTACGTCACTTTAAAGATAACTATAGGATATTATCCATTATAAGCGAAATTAGTAACATGGAAAATAAGGCAAACAATCTACTACTACAAATTAAGTTAGTGATAGTATAAAAATTCTTTATGTTAGTCACTCTATTAGCTTGCGTATGTTAATTCATGTTCCAATATGATTCGTTCTGTTTTCTTCCTAGAACAAAATAACAACAATAACATACCCAGTGTAATTTTACAAGTAGGGTTTGGGATCGGTAGTAGGTACGCAACCTTATCCCAACCATGTGCAGGTAGAGAGACAGTTTCTAATAGACCCTCTCGGCGCAAAGCAAGCATACATAATCATAGCAGTATAGAGAAAGAAATGCATTAGTAAAAAGTCAAGAAGCATTAGCAACAACAAGATAATAGAAAATCAAAAGAACAGCAACATCATATAGTAATAGGAATCTGAGAATAAATAAGGTGTTTGATACTTAGGTTGTTATTAACTTCACAGCTACAACTATTTCTATTAATTCATTGGATATGGAACCTTCTTCTCCTGTTGAAAGGAACATCTAGCTAACCAATCTGGCTGATACCAAATAATTAGCTAAAATGGTATAACTTAATTTCTGCCAATGAAGAGTAAAAACCTACCACCACATGATTCAATACTTAAAATCGCCAATTGGAATAGCTAAAAGTTATGGAAATTAAGATTGACTTAGATAATTAAACTTCATCAGTGGTGCTTCTCCTAGGCGGGTCTAGGATTTAAACTTAATGAATTTAATACCTATGGTTTGTATAAAAAATTTAGCGTTTAATTATAACTCGTAAATGTTAGATACATCCGCCCCTGGTACCCATCTGATGCACTCAAACACAAGCTAGGAATTGTCGAAAACCTAAACAAATAATTAAAAGACTCTTAACTTTAACGGTTTAAAGTTTTAGATCAAATCGCTTCATACGATTCAATATATATATTTTCAGGGCAGTCAGAAGTTCAGGATTTGAATCTCACTGGGAGCGACTGAAAACATATATTTTCATGTATATGTGAAAAAGAAAGCATGATTTTATACGAGAAATGAATCCAGCGGGCTGGGGCGGAGCTATAATATTAGTTACAGGTTCGTACGAACTCAGCCTCTGCCGGTAGAGTAGTTTTAAAGTCCTCTTGTTAAGATATGTAATTGTCCTTGTGCACAAACACAAGTCAAATGGAAACTTACTTCAAATGATGTTAACATATGGCATTTTTCCCACAAGAGCATTTTGCAATGACAATGGTGTGCGGTTCATTTACAACTCAATATGCGCATTGCCGAAGAATAAATTTTGTCAAGAGATTCCAAGGGAATAAAAGTGAAGTGCTGCTTTCTTTGTGGTCCTTTTCGTACAGCTAAATTTTCGTGGTGAAAAATGCTTTAGAAAACGAAAAGTATAACATTTCTTTAGTATTTGTTTGGAAAAAAGTTGATGAAACGTGGTCCCTATTTTTCTTCTATTTGGGTGCTAAGGAATAATCCTTTCATCTATGTCGTTTCAAGTTCATCCAAACTAAAAGCAAAATATGAGTGCTGGAACTTTAGAAGAATGAGAATAAGGCGTTATAATGGTGCTAGGTGACAATAATAATTTGTAAGTAACCAAATACAAAATAAGTTTTAGGTATAAGTAGACTGTAGAAGCAAGAAAACAATATAGTGGAAAATAACTTACCTAAGTGATAGAAAGAAATAACATAGTGGAAAATAACTTACCTAAGTGAGAAAAAAATAACATGTGGAAAATACCTAAAAACTTAGGTATTTGTCTTCTTGAGCCGAGGGTCTTTCGGAAACAGCCTCTATACTCCTTCGAGATAGGGGTAAGGTCTGCGTACCCTCCCCAGGCTCCACTAATGAGATTTTACTGGGGAGTTGTTGTTGTTGCTCGCTTGATATCTAGTACTAGCATTAGGCTGGTGAAGAAGCAAGCTTATTCCTGCCCTGAGCAACAGCTACTAGGTTTCCCCATCTCTTCTAATATTCCCTGGATCTTCGGCCCATACTATATAAGGCAAAAACTCGTCCCACGTACGGTACAGAGGCCGAGCCCTACCCCAACAGTAAGGGTGTGGCTTATGTTAATTAACACAAAAAATATATATAATATAGTTTACTCAAATCCCGAGTTGTTCGGATTCAAGTACATATATGTTGTAAAAAGGCGGACGCGCACTTTAGATTGTGGGGTCATCGGCCCCGAAAACTTCAATTAAAACTTCATGTATACTTATAAATGCCTTCAAGAAATAACCAAATATCAGTGTAGGCTCTTGTACTATTGAATATCATGATGTTTCGCGAACGCCGAATTCTGAGTCCGCTTACGAGGATGTAAGTTACTTCCTGTTTTGATGTAAAATATGTGAAATAATTAAACATTTAAAAATGATCTTAATTATCAAGAATCTAGATCTAGTGCATAAAATTGTGACAGAAAGCTAGAGACAAAAAGCTGGATGCTACCACAGTAAATCATTTGCGGCTGAATTACAATTGCAGTTCATTATCTACAACTAGCACCACTTTTCTTATTCCTCTATTTTTCTTTCAATCGCCATCATGAAAGAAACATCTTGTTTTCTTGAAAAATCCTTTAATCTTTTTTTTTTTCCCTTGAAAAGGAATCCTTTTTTTCATTTCTGGTCCAATTTATATGGTCAGTATTCTTTATTATAAGATGTCTCAAGATGTTTGATATCATTCTATTTCTATGCACATTTCATTACTTTAAAGAATTTAAATTATTAAAACTTTGATCCAAAATTTTCTCTATCTTACTAGTAGTTGTTTATATGTTCGTCCAATAACATTAATAAAATATATAATCGGAGTAACGAGAACTATGAGATCGGAGTTCAAATTCGAACAAAAATAAAATTAAAAAATTAAGTAATTTCTTTTTATTTGTCTAGGCTTTAATGATTAAAATTATCGAAGTTTGTAATGGTGAGAAATAATATGTACCCAATGAAATAATTGAGTGGTGTAAAACAACCAAGACGCCACCATTTTTAATGCTAAAATCCTTCACTGTGATGGTTGCTATTTATTATATTCATCAAACGTTTCAATACAATACAATACAGTACGATACAATATATTATAAAATGACGTATAACAACCCTCCAAAACAAATTGTTATGGGAGTCATTTCATACTCAATGACATCACAGTCCAATAGGGAGACTTGTACGAAATGTATGTCAAAATTGATTTGTTTATAGTTATCTATCATCTTCAGTTCTAATTGCGCCTCCCTTTATTCTTTTGACTTACGTGGGCATTAACATTTGCAACTCATCATTCAATTGAGACACCAACGAAAGGTTATAAACGAAAGGTCAAATACATAATAAGCAAATCCTTATAAGTTGTTAGTTGGATACCGTAAAATCTTTGTATAATAATCTCGTTTGTTCCGAATATTTTTAGATGTTATAGCGAAATGCTATTATAGAAAACATATATTACAATATAATATGAAAATTGATTCCAAAAAGAGCTTGGGTTTTTTAGTGAAGTGTTGTTATACAGGAATGCTATTATAAAGAGGTCTGATTGTATCTCAATTGAAGCATTTACATATTAAACACTTATGGGTCGTTTGGTAGCGCCGGTTAGAGAGGAGTTATCCATATATTAAAACTAGGATAACTTTATACATTGTTTGGTTAAAAGAAGGGGAAAAAATAATCTCCACATAGAAGCTAGCATTGTTTAACCTCTTTTCCACATATAAAATGTAGCATTGCTAATACAATGTTTGGTTCATATTTTTCTTTTCCGCATAACTAATACATGTATAAGTTGTGAGGGAATCTATGTATTATTTATGCAGGGTAGAAGGTGAAATAACGTATACATGTATTAGTAATACTTGTATTAAAATACAAAATGACAAGAATACCCTTTATTCAAACTTGTATTTTTTTGTTTAAAAAATATATTTAAACTATACTAACAATTTTAATAAAATAAAGTAAGCTAAAAATGAAATAACACTCACATTACATTTATATTACTAATCCTTATATAACTACCGCATAACTAATCCCAACATAACTCAACCTTGCACAACTAATCTCTGCATTACTTATTCTTGCATAACTAATACATACATAACTAATACCTACATAACTAATACATGTATAACTAATACCTGCATAACTCTAACCGGCAACCAAACGACCCCTAATGTATATCTGAAGGGGTGTCTATTAACACAAAAATTTGACAACTTCAAACCGACTGAAGTGTGTGATTCTCACTTTCTTGAGATTCTTTTGATTTGGCAGATCAAACCAATAAAAAGTTACACATCATAAACAAAAAAATCTGATTTACTTTGCTGAAAATTGTTTATGGCAGTCGGTGCTTCACTGCTTGTGATATCTGCCGGAAAACTTTGACGACGAAAACCACAGTGTCAGTGACCCCAATATGATAACCACAAGCCCCAACTAGTGTGTGTCGGCACCCTCACACTGCTCTTGCCTGTAGCCAATCCATGCTTTTCTACGCAAAGCATGCTTTTCTTCGCAATATTGTAAACTCACACTTAAGATTGTTAGCGGGTGATATTGTCAAATGACATAATATAACACAATCTACCTAAATATTGTACCACACAAGTAATACACTTTCTCTGTCTCAATTTATGTGAAGAAATTCGGATTTCGAGAGTCAAACATCTTAATTTTAACCGTAAATTTGGACATA